CAACGAAAATAATTTTATGGTTGGGGGTCACCACAACATGAGGAACTGTATTAAGGGGTCGCGGCATTAGGAAGGTTGAGAACCGCTGCCCTAAAAGTTTCTGAAAGAGAAATGACAACCACACCAGATAAATAGCAAGCAAAGAGATCGCAAAGCCAAGCACAAAAGCATGTCTATTTCTGTTACTTATAGGGCACATATTCTGCCACAGCACGCTCGTGTTTTGCTTCCACATCTCAGGCTGTCACCTTGACAAAAGAGCCGCACTTATAAAACCCGCGACAGAAAAAGAGGGGTTAGTATAGAACTAGTGTACACAGTTCACCAGGTACATACAATTTGGCCATAAAAGAGTTAATTTGCTGAAACAAATTAAAGTGAAAAAAGGCCAGGACAGCACTTCGATACTTGAAGGTTAGGTTGTCCAGTCCTCGCCAATAAATATCCTCTTTCATTATCTATTTAGTAGTCTGCAGGGGCTACCATGTCTGCTGTGAGCCTGCAGTGGATTCTGTATCAGCTACGCTTATGACTGCAAAAGCTTCTCTGCCCCAGCCGATGAGCTCTATCGTTTTCACTCCTTTGTAGACCTGATGGCTCCTTTTGCAGTCAACAGAAAATTTATTCACAACCAAGAATGAGGACCACTGCCTGACCTTCAGATGGGATTACTGCCAAAGAAGCCAGATCCCCAAGTTTCTTCCTTGTCACCAGGGGATAATAGGAAACAAGACATTTTCTGAAATATAAGCACTGTGTACCATAACTTCTAGCTGTGAAAGCGACTCTCCCCGTCTTCAACAACTTCTAGAGAGGTCAAGCTGTCAAGCCCCTAGGTGAATTCTCTTTTTTTTTTTTTTCATGGAAATTCAGAAAATCCTTTTCCCCCCAGGGTACAAAAGTATTTTATTCTTGAACTTTCATGAGCAAAGGCTTCCAAATTCCTAACTGATTTCCTATGGCCCCACACTCGTTAGAAAACATGCTTTTGCTTCTTGGGCATCAGCCCAAGAGTAAATTGGTATGAGCTGGCACTCGGATGGGATTCTTATCGGTAGCACTTGGTAAGTGGTGTTTCCTAGGATCATGTGGTACCACGAGGTTCACTCAGGTACACTTAGGCTTCTAGGATCCTGACCAGAGCCAAAGGGGGTCTAGAATGTCACCGCAAAGCTTCAGCAAAGCTCGTGATCAGGGTTTGCCCTTCACCTGCTCCAGAAATGAAATCTGAACCACTGCGACGGGCCCCGAGCCAGGAAGGAAGAGGGCCGCCTGCTTCTGCTCGGCTGCCTGTTTCCTCAGGAATTCTACAGCGTTTTATTCCCTTTCCTTTGAGCGTCGATGCTCTTACCAGACTACCTAGTCACTCCTACATAAGAAATGCTAGTTCACAGAAGCAGAAATTCCAGGGAGGACACTTTCCTAGTGGTCTATATTTGTACAGCCACAAGGTACCTGACATTCTTTACGTTTATTCTGAAGTCAATGGAAAACACATCACACGTATCTCATAAAATGTCAAAGCTGAATTGGTTATCATTTTTTGAAAACCAACAGATGATACAAACAAACATATATAAAGTACCTTTAAAAAGTACCAATATGTGATTAACCAAGATTTCCCCCTCTTGGACAATTTTAGATGTAAATAACATATTGAATGTCAGCGACTTATTATGTTCCAATGGGGAAAAATAAAGTGACATTGACCTTCATACTCCGCTAGGCGCCTTGTGAGGGCTATCAATTCTAATCTTCCCAGGGTCCCTGCAAGGCGGGTATTCTTATCCCCAATGAACAGATATAGAAACCCGAGTCTCAAAGGCTGAGCCAGGGTCACAGAGCTAATGAGCGGCTGGGATGCGATCGAATCAGAAGGTCTGGTGCCAACACCTACTTTTGTTCAATTACAGTACACTGCCTTTAGAAGTGACAACCAGGCAGGAGAATCAATGAAAAAACAAACATTAGCAAGATCTTTTGAAAGATCTTCCTCCTAGACCTTTAGTTAAACAGTCTCAATTTTTTTGTTAATCAAACTAACAAAAATCTTAGCAAGGGTGTTGCACATTACATAAATTCCCACAGACGTAGCAGTGAGTTTTGGGTTCCAGGACTCAGGAAACAAGACCTCATTTTAGGGAAACAGAGACCTTGATGCTGGGCTTCAACAAACCTGCAGCTGATCTATTTTCACGAGCCTCCCTATGTCCACCCTCCTTATGTAAGAGCCCCCAGAAGACCCCACTCTTTCCCAGTAACTTCTAGAAACAGGGCTAGGCTTTCCTTACCTTTAGAATCTGGTCCCCTTCTTGAAGGCCTTCTTGCTCTGCCGAGGTACCCTCCTGAATGCCAGCCACAAATATCCCAACGTCATTGCCACCAGCCAATCGAAGGCCCACGCTGTCTCCCTTCTTGAACCTCACCATTTTGGTATTGGGGCTGCAATGGTTTCAATTGCAGAAAAGAAATATGGAAGATTATTTTTGTCAAGGGGGACCAACATTAGCCCATGAGAGATTTAATTTCTTCTAACTATAGGGTGATTTACAGTTTAAGACTCTTTCCTTTTTCCCATGTAATCTATAATTTATCCTCCTTGGGACTGTAAGATGGATATAACAGGCCCACTTTACTGGAGAAGAAGTAGAAATACAGAAAGTTTACGTGGGCTCATTCGAGATTAGAAAGCAAAGAAAGGGCAGGATTAGGGCTAAAATCGAGGTCACCCAACTCCCAGTTTGGGATTCTTCCAAAGGAAAGCCTGCGCCACCCCAGGGCTCTTGAATGGACACACAGCCTGGGTCCAGAAAGCCAGAGGCTAATCCAGGAGCTACTACTCTTGACCTCCACTGAACCAGGGGTTCTCAGTGTCAAGTGCAGAGCACTGCGTCACTTTCTTCTCCCACTCACTGAGACCACCATGTCACGGCTGCCCTGACAAGAGACACCATACTTAAGGAGTACTTCCCCTATCTGGGAGTTATTGACCTGGGAAACTCAGATATTCAGAATCACATTCTGGAGAAGAAACCAGGTAAATGACAAAGCAGACAAAGCAAACATCACAAACTTTACCCACTTCTACATTTTACACTTCCTACAAATGATTTCTCTTTCCAATAACTACTTGTAATAGGGGTTGGTTAAAGGTGCCTGATTATAAGCAAAATCACCATCTTTAGTTTAAAAAACAAAACAAAACACCATTCTTCTGGATTTCAGTTAAGGAGATAGAGCTGTGTGGAGAAAGAAAGGGGGGAAAAAAAGAAAGACTGAAACACATACCCGTATATGGCTTCATCTTCAGGACTAGGACGAAGAAAAGTTCTCGGCACTGGTTTTGGTTGAGGAGCTATGGATTAAAAAGCACCCGTCATTATCAACCTGGACTAAAAGAAGTTTGTTTGTTTGTTTCAAAATATAAATCTCACAAACCCACCAAAAATTTGAATCTGTACCTTATGCTACATATATGTCATCACATCAAACATCAAAAGTAAGTCTTTAAAGCAAAGTTTAATATTAAGACATTAGCAGGTGCCAATGGTTTCTCAAAATAACTGAAAGGAGAAATGAACCTCCAACAAACAAGGTGCATAATCATATGTCCAAGAAGATAGCATTTTTCATACCTAAAAAACCACATAATAATGCTCTTTCCAAGGGTAGATACTTATGCATGCAAAATCATGCTGATAAGTTTAGGGCGATAGGGGAACGGTTAGGGGGTGGGGTTAAGATCAGAGGTGGGAGATAAAAAGACTTCAAATATGACAAAATGTGACTGTGACACAATAAAAAAATATATATTTGGTCTTTGCTCCCAGTTTCTGAAACAAAAGTCCTAAAAATCCCCATAATTTCTGGGTGCCAGGAGGGTCAGGAGTATCTTTTGCTCTGATATTTGGTCTTTGACACAGGGTTCCTACATCCCTTGGAATTTTCCAGATGATAGGACAGTCCTTTGTTCTAAACAGATGATTCCTGTGGGCTCCTGGATAGCCTCAGGGTAGGGGCTGGTCATCAGAACGGGCAAACCATGGTTAGAAGCTTGGAACTTTCAGCCTACCTGCCCATCATCCAGGGAGGGGGGAGGGGCCGGAGACTGAGTAAATAATTCATCATGCACACGACAAAGCCTCCATAAAAACCCATAAAACTATGGGGTTCGATTGCTTCAGGGTTGGTGAACACATGGAGGTACTAGGGGGGTGACACACCAGAAGAGGGCATGGAAGCCCCACGGTCCTTCCCCATATCTTGCCCTATGCATCTCTTCTACTTGGCTGTTCCTGAGCTGTATCCTTTATAAAAAACCAGTAATAGTAAGTGAAGTGCTTTTCTCAGTTCTGTGAACCTTTCTAACAAATGGTTCATAGCAGTGGTGGCGGCCCATGGGAAGTCCCGGTTTAAAGCTGTTGGTCAGAGGTAAAGGTGATAACCTGGGACTTGTGACTGGCATCTGAAGTAGGGGCATCTTATGGGACAAAGCCCTTAACCTGTGGGGTCTGCACCAACTCCAGGTGGTCAGTGTCAGAACAGAGTTGAATTGTAGGACATCCACTTAGTGCCTGGAGAATTCGAGAATTGGTAGTTGGGTGACACATTTGGTGTCAGAGTGCTGTGAGCAGAAACAGCTCAAGGGTAAGATAAGGTATAGGAAACAAAAGGACCACAACTAATCAAACATAACAAAATCTGATCTATCTGTAGGCATACAGGAAGGGCTATTAATCTTTCTATTTTTTCACTATGATGAGAGAGAGACAGGAATTCCTCTTCCATGTTTGACAATGACTGTTTTTTTTTTTACAATTTCTCTCTCCTTCCAGCCACCCTCTGGATTTATGAAGCAGAAACTTTGAACGCGATTGTTTAAAATGAGCCTCACCTGGGGCTTCCTCTTGGTACCTGGGTTCCTTGCTGGTCTCTGCGCCCACAGCAGCTGCAATGTCCCCCGTGGACTTAAAGGGAGTGGGTGTGGCACCCATCCTGGACCATCTGCCCTGCATGTCCTCTCTTGAACTTAAGCACACGTCATGTTAATATCACATAAGGTAGCAGGTTCGCAAATATGTACGTGTGTACACGCACAGTGACGTGTGCAAGGAGAAAATACACAGGGTCTTACTTTGGCCTTTCCTTCAGTTTTTCATTTGAGGAATGATAATCATAATCGGAATACTGCTGCCGCCTCTCCTCTGGAGAAAACGATTGGTTTGACTCTATTTCCGAGATATCTGGTTTTAAAAATAAGAAAAGACTTTTTAATGAAATATTTAAGACCTGTACCAGAAAGTATCCTATTCTCTGGGTAGGAAACACGGGAAACGGAAGAGAGGCAGGCAGTAAATGTGCTATTAGCCTAATAGTCTTCCTGAACTGAAAAAAATCTGATCGTTTGAAGAGAACAGTATTAATTAATAAAGAGGAAGCCAAATACAGATTTTTACATTCCTCTTTCATTACACTTCCCATCAGAGCTGCTACTGAAGAGTCAAAATTCAATTACTGGGCCATATATGTACACACTTATTTTTACCACACAGGTCAGGGTTTCTCAGATGTCAATGCACATACAAATCACCTGGACTCTTGTTAGAATGCAGTTGTTCGGGGTAGGGGGTGGGGGTGGGCGCCTGAGACTCAGGGCTCTATCAAGCTCCCAGATGCTGCTGGTGGGCTGAGCACCACACTTTGAATAGCAAAGAGATAAACTGTTAAGCACCTAGCGTGCTGGGATGACTTCTTGTGCTCCTTTGGTTTTCCTGCACTGCACTCAGGGCAATAACCCAGTTTCGACTTTTGATATAACGGAAGTCAAACTGAGTTTTATAAAGCAATTCTTTTAAAAATCAACATCTGTTTTAAACCTGGAGAACTTAATATTTTTTCTAAATTTTTCTGCACAAAGGCAATGCTAGATGGTTAACTAGGAAATACCATGAATTATGTCTATTGGTAATTTGTGTATGGTTAAAATGTTATCCTATGTATAATTCATATTCAAGAAATGGATAGCTGCATAAAAGAGAAGAGGTGACATGGATTGCTAACCAATAAATGCTATATAAGCCATTCTAATTCTTTATTATAGAGTCTACCCATTCTTGCTCTCCTCCACCTTGTCTTCTCTTTGTTGGAAATATTAATGGCTACTTTTGCTACTTTTAAAAAACCATGAGAAAGTGCAAAAATAAGCAATTTACAATGTATGTAATTAGTTCTTTGAACTGCTCCTACATACATTTTTTTATTAACAAGTTTTGTTTCCAGTGGCCCAATCAGAGACCACTGGGAGTTCACAAGTACACCAGAATTTCAGGTGGGAAACCCAATTTCAACAGATATTTTAATAAGAAAATAATGATGAAACACTTATCTTGTGGAATTAAAAGTTTAAAAGAGAGGTTTTTGATGGAAATTTAACTCTCGGCTGGTGGCTATGCTAAACAGAGACAAGAATGCAGAAGCAACAGGTTTCCTTGCTTCCAGCTAAGCTCACAGCCTCCTCTTTCTTTACCTTCTATTTCTGAGTCGCTGTCATTTAACGATGGGATGTTGATGAGCGTCTGCTTGCTGTCTCTCAACACCACTAGCTGGAGTTTTCCTCTTGACTTTTCTATCAGTTTTCGAGCGTCCGTTAGAGACATGTTCTCAGTTACAGTTCCATTTATCTGCGTTTGTAAAGAACAGTGATGTTATATGCAATACAACTATTCACGGCGAAACAGAAAATTTCCAATTTTCTGTTCTAAAAGTGTAAAGGCTTTGCTCAGCTATTCACACAGACATGGGCTTTAGGATGACTGACTGAATAAAAATGGATTCTCCTTTAAATTAAATATAACCCTGCATGCCTGGATCCCAAATACAGGCATGAGAGAGCTGTAGTGTACTTAAGTTACTCTGCTAATTTATTTAACTTCCAAGCTCAAGACGATGGTTTGGTTTACTGCTGGAACATGTTTCCTGACCAGAGAGGTTTACAAAAACTATTAAATATTCAGCATTCATATACCACCAACTCTCCCTCTCATGTTCCCTTAGTTTAGGGAATAGGACTTTAACTTTAAATAAACAGGGAATAAGAAAGGTATTCTTTGAGACATTTTTAAAACTGACATTAAACTAGAACAAACCTCCGAGTCTGGTTTTTCTGATAACAATTTTCTCAGTCTGCTGCTCTTCCCCGCCTCTGTCTTACTATTGATTCCCATTCCAACAAAGTTTCACTGTATTGGCACTTGAATGTGAAAATGCAGATTGTGAGGCCAAGCATGAATCTCACTGTCCTCTACTCCTGTCTGCCCACCTTGAGAATGATGTCCCCTTCGTGAAGGTTGCCGTCTTTGGTTGCCAGGCCTGTACTAGTCATTTCCTTTATGAAGATCTGACTCCCGAGCCGGAGGCCATACTCTAGGAGACAAACACAGAAACATACACATATTTCATCAACTTGTTCAGAAATCTTAGTTTGTTTTTTATTACGACTATTTAAAAAATGTTTATGAAAAAGCAATTTTGCATGCGGGACATTCTGTAAGACAACTGGCCTGGAATTATCAAAAAAGTCAATGTCATTAAAAAAAAAAAAAAAGACCAAAAGAGGTGGAGTTCTATTGTAGAGTAAGAGATATAAAAACCAAATGCAATGCATGAACCTTCACTAGATCCTTGATCCAATGTGGGGAAAAGGTGGAGGGTGGGGTGGGTCACATTATTTTGGAGCAACTTCAGAATGAACTGCACTACAATATATTAAAAGGGATAGTAATGTTAATGGGATAAAGGCATGGTTATGTAAGAGAATGCTCTTACCCTCAGGAGGTACCTGATGAAATATTCAGGGGTAAAGGGTCACAATGCCTGCAACTTACTTTCAAATGGTCCCAAACCACCACTGACAGGGAAGCGGTGGGGAGGAAACAGAGGGGGAGGCTACAGAAAGAGGAAAAAAGGAAAGAGAAAGAAAACAAATGTGGCAACTGGTAAAACTAAGTAAAAGGTATATTAAGTGCTTGCTATAAAATTAACACTTTTCAAAATAAAATGTTGGGGAGAAAAAAAACCAATTCAGTGCATCTTAATAGGCCATGTGATACTGACAATGCAGTTGTCTAAGGAAGGCGCTTCACTGCACACAGAATAGCCTCCATCTGTAACAATTTAGACCGCGTGGGGCTTGGCACTGAAAAGATTTCAGTGTGTGAAGAAAAGGGGTAAATAAGCCAGGCAAAACAAAAAAGTATTTACCTAAAACCAGCATAGCTCTGTGGAGGTTTATGGGCTTTGAATTACTCAAAAGAAAAAAAACACCATATTTACTAAATATGTATATTTTAAAATATATTAAATACTATTCAGGCTATTCTGATTTTAGTTATTAAACTTGTAAAAACACATATTTTAAAGATAAATTTTGGTTATTATTTTTTTAGGAAGCTACCACAACCTAGCAGGTTTTAAAAGAGGCACATTCAAATTGTATTATTGCTGTGCTGGATAAATTATAAGATTTCAAAATCTTATAATTATGAAACAAAGTAACTTTCTGCCATTTAGAAAAGTTACGAAGTAGGCTTAAAGATAAGTATGAATTGACTTACAGTAAGTTAGCATCAGATCTAACCATAATGATTAAAGGGGTTAAGGTCCACCCATACCTCCTTAGGAAGCTGATACTCAAGAAATTAAGGGTAACAGAGCATCTTTCCTGGGTGACAATTCCCTACTGGCCAGGACAGAAGGCTGAGAAGAGCTCCAGTGATGACTTCTTTCTCATATATCAACAATTCCTTTCTTAAAAACTGCACTTGTATTGTAAGGTTGCAAACAGATTTACTGTTGTGTATGTGGACATCTCTTCAAAGAAGAAAAAAAAAAATCAGTTGACCAGCTTCTAAGACATTTACCAGGAGGCTATCTGGTGCCCAGGAAATATAATAATTGGCCATATAATTGGATCATATTTTTCTTAATCAAATGTAGGTCTTGCCTACTGCCATGTTTCTTTAAAGATTAATTCGTATGCAACTCTAGCCAGTAATAGCTATGTTATTCTGTAATCTCAGCAAAAGGTGGCAAAAAAAAAAATCTTTTAAAAAGTAGACCTTTTCTTTTTTAAAGTGAATTCCAAGTTTGAGGAGCAAAATGGCCCAAGAGTAAAGGGCTGCATCAGCAAAGGGGCACTGCTCCCTTGTTTCCTGGATAGTATTACCAAGACCAGGCATGACCTGGGCAGTCTCTCAGGACAATGTCTTTTTAAACTGTAGGTCACAACCCCTTTAGTAAGTCTTGAAATCAATTTAGTGAGTTGTGACCAGCGTGTTTAAATTTAATGTAATGGAACCTCTCAGAATGCATTACATCAAGTACTATTCCATGAACCTCCTCAAGTCTTTATATGTAGATACATCCTTGATTGTTTGCAAGATGTGGTCCTTACTGAGACAGGAGGAGGAGGGGGAGAAAAAGAGAGGAAGAGGAGGAAGGGGAGGAGGGAAAGAGGAGGAAGAAGATGAGGAAAAGTTTGAAAAGCATTGCCTTAAGAAACTCAAGAACCTGGGGTGCAAACCATGCAAATGTGCATAAGACCCCTCTGAAGGAGCTCTCGGGGCCAAGTCACCTTTCTCAAAACTTCGCTCCAGTCCACCTTTCAATCTGGGAGCAGAATGGTTTTGTTGCTCTTGGGGATTGATGAATTAATATGGCATTATAAATGGTTACACAGATTCTATAGAATCCTTCAACCTCCTAAACCGCACATTCCTCAGAGGTGGGCTATTTAAAATGCAAATCCCCAATCTAAAAAGCAGTCAGTCTTTCCCTTTGTATTCTCCAGTGTGCTTCACCTTTGTTTCCTCTTAGAAGGAGAGCATGAGGGAACAAAAGGAAATAAAAGATTTTCACAAGGAATTAAAAAAGTCATAAGCCAAGAATCAATGCAAGGAATATGTCAACACTGGGCTCTAGAGCCCTGCTCATTCACCTACTCGTTTCCTATCATCTATTTCCAGGAGGTGGAGTTTGAGTTCTAGTCCACCATTTACTGGCTTCAGGCTGTGCAGGCAAGGTGCTTCCCCTTTCTGTGTTCCAGGAACCTAACCTGAGCCAGAGCCCGCCTTGCGCATGCGCATAACCCCAAACTACGCATAACCCCAAACTACGCATAACCCCAAACTATGCTGTACTTTGATACTCCCGCCTGTAAAAGAGGAATAGAGTCTCCTACTAACACACAAGGGGGTTGGTGAGCATTAAATGATACTATTCAGCATAGGCCCTGGCATAGAGCAAAAAACGCAATCAAGGTTAGCTAGAGTATTCTCCTCTATTGTGTTTTCATTAATTTAAGCCGCACCAGGCTCACCAGGAGAGGCTAATACACAGACTCCAGGGACCCACCCCAGTGTTTCTGAGTCAGTGTGGCTGGGCGGGGGCCTCAGAATCTGCATTTCTAACAAGTGTCCAGGTGACACTTATGCTGCTTTGAGAGCCACTGGCCTAGCAGTTTAAAGCAGAATTTCTGCAGTCTCTGCAAGTTCATTGTGCAAGTCAATGAACTTTTCTGTGCCTCAGTTTCCTTGTCTATAAAATAAAGATACGAGTCATTACTACATAAGGTGGTGATGAGGATGAAATGAGCTAATCTGTGCAAAACATTTAGGTCAGTCCTTGCACATAGTAAATGACATATAAGACTTAGCTATTATTATTATACTAGTCCTTTTTCTTCATTAAGCATCACTACCTTCATGTGCTTTGCTTTTCGTCAAAAGGACCCCGATGGGCCTGTCCGTGTCCAGCTGGCCTGGGTGGTCTGGCCGCCCTCTCGGCTCAGGGCTGGGGCTGCGGGAGTGGAGGTGCTCGCGGCTGCGGCTCCGGGACACCTCGTACCAGGCATCTGGCTGGGCCCTGCGGATGTACTCCGCTTCTGGGCTGTAGGTCCGATCATAGACCTGGTCAACACTCCGGCCACGGCTGCTCTCTCGGGCTCGGCCATAGTCGTGGTCCAGACCCCGCTCCAGGCTCCGGCCGCGGCTCCGGTCTCGGGCTCGGCCGTAGTCATCATGGTCCAGACCCCGCTCCAGGCTCCGGCCTCGGGCTCGGCCGTAGTCATCATGGTCCAGACCCCGCTCCAGGCTCCGGCCGCGGCTCCGGTCCCGCTCCCGGCTGCATGGCCGGTCGTGGGGACGTCCCCTCTCCAGGCTGTCCTCCCAGCTGCGGAGCCGGCTCCTCTCACTGTACCTCTCGCTGTACCCACTGCGGGCACTTCTACCGTCAAACTCGTCCACTACCTCAAAAGCCCGGTCATCCTCACTGAGAGGAGGGCCGCCCTGCGGCGGGGCCAGCTGGACCTTCCGGGGCCTCTTGACCACCTGTTAACCAAAACACAGCGGGGACGCAGGACAATCACAATTAAACATCGAGAATGCAGTGGTTAAGAGCTCGGTTCTCCTTCCAGTACAACTGGGTGTCCCAATTCAGTAAGCCTCGGGTTCCTCATGTGGAAAACAGGGCCAGGAAAGACCTCATACGGTTGACAATAAAATCAGACAATGATGATAAAGCTCTCAACACAGTGCCTCCAAAACCTGCTTCTACTCCGTGTGAAAAGCACCACGGGGCTTTAAATCACTGTTATAAAAATGAAAATCCAGAAAGTAAGACCTTCTATATACAACTGCTTCGATTCTCCCAAGTCAATGTCATTTAAAAAAAAGACAAGTCGGTCCAGCCGAGTGGCTCAGTTGGTTAAGAGCTCGCTCAAGAGTACGAGCTCTGAGCAACAGGGCCACTGGTTTGATGCCCAGCCCGAGCTGAGCTGCCACTGAGCTGCCAACAGGTGGCAGGATGGCTCAGCTAAAAAAAAAAAAAAGACCAGTAGGGGAAGAGGGACAAAGAGGAACCCTCCTAGGAGGAACTAAAAGGGACTAAAAAGATTGGGACCACATGCAATGAATGAACTTTGGATCCTAGATGGGGAAGAAAAAAAAATCTATCAAAGATATCTTAGGATATGGACTGGATAGTACATGATATTGTACAGTTATTGTTAATTTTCTTAGATGGGATAATAGTATTAGAGTTAAGTAGAAGAAAGTCCTTATTTAAGAGATACATGCTGAAGGATAGAACTCTCATTCACTAAAAATGTGTTTACATACACATATGGAGAGAAAAATCAAGTAAATATGGCAGAATATTAACAGAAGATATAGTTAATTACATTAATCTTTAAACTTTTCTTTGAAATTTTTCATAATGACAAGTGGAAAAAAAATGAAATACCATGTACTCAGTGCAATCCATTAGCACCGCCCTTAAACCCACTGTCTTCCAAATTCTCATTTTGTGTGTCCACTTGCCCCACTGGAGTAAACGCTCCTTGCAGCACAGACCTGCTCCAAGGCCAAGCGGTCCCTGGCTCATAGTCAATGCTCAACCGATGTTTGCTGAGTGAATGAGTGAGCAAATACATGAATGAACGCTAGAGACTGCTAATATCTCCTAAGAAACTCTAGTTTATGAAGCTATAACAGATCTCGTTTGGGTCTTTACAAATGAGTTTTGGAGCTGGCATTTACTGTCTACATTAATGCTGTTTTACCATTGCTCTCAATCTAGCTAATTCTTCTAGGGAAAAATTGTCTAGGGCCGGCCGAGTGGAGCGATGGTTAAGAGCTGGCTTGGGATGCCAGAGGGTCCCAGTTCGGATCCCACATATGAGGGCAGTGACACTGCCCTCTACAGCTAAGATGCTGAACAACAGCTCAACCTGGAGTTGGGCTGCCGTGAGTCACCGGCGTAGGCTGCAGCCCCTGCTGCAGTGGGTTGCCATGGGCTACTGTATGTAGCCAGCAGCCAGCGTGAGCAGCCAGCAGCCGCCTTGAGCGGCCGTCCAGAAGTCGGCGACTGATCTGCCTCGCCCGGGGAAAAGCGCAATGATGGTGCTGACTTGGGCCAGTGAAGCAACGTCCTCCACAACTAGACTGAAGAACAAAAGGACAGCAACTTGTCTGTTCCCCTTCCCCCAATTCCCCAGCGCTGTTCCCATCCCAATTCCCCAATAAAAATCTTAAAAAAAAAAAAATTGTCTAACCTGGCTTGTAAGGCAAAATTCACTCAGATAAGAGAATCATTGGTCTTAAGAAGTTAGGAGAAAGACAAAGAAGAGGAAGGGAGGAATTACATACTGTATTTCCCCATGTAAAAGACGCACCCTTTTTCGAAAAATTTGGGGTCTAAAAACTGGGTGCGTCTTATACAGTGGTTGTAGGGGTTTTTACTTGCATTTCCCACAAGTGATGGGGAGTTCTATGTATTTTATGATGAATAAAACTTGAGTTCAATAACTTTATGTAATACATTGTTTTCAAATTTCGGGCCCCAAAATTAAGTAAGGTGTGTCTTATACATGGGAGCATCTTACACGTGAGGAAATACGGTACATCTTTGCATCATCCATTACATCGCCCTCCTAAAGTACTGAAGGTACAAGAAGTAGCGGCCCCTCGATTATGTAATTTTGTCAAGGGCTGAAAAGCAAGTGGTAATTTTCTTCGGCGCATTAAAAACAAAATGCTATGAAGGCAAGCAGAAAACAAACCCCAAACTTACAATGGAGGCGATCTTCCCGCTTTTTCTCAGCTGCTGAACAGCAAATGAATGGAGCACACCCTCCATGGGGGTGCCGTTAACCATGACCACCCTATCATTTTCTCTGCAAAGAAAAACAATTAAGACGGAATGTGAAAAACTCCCATGTGTTTACTGCAAATCGTTTCTTTAGGAACAAATACATTGATCTGAAATGCTTATTAAAGGGCTTAATGTGTGATAACTCCCAAGGTTTAATCAGTCAATTCAGTCTGAGATCTGAGGAAGGAACGTTTGGAGCCACCCAGCCCACTTTTTGACACTTCGAGTGTCTACTAGAAACCAGCTGGGGAAATGGACCCACGCCACAGGGTCCCTCCAGGAGCCACTTGACAGGGGAGAGGTCTGAGCACAAATGAATTCCTCTATCAGGCCTCCTTACCCAGGGTGCACTGTGGGCTTCAGGAAGTCTACAAACACCACCACCACCACCCGCCCCTGCCCCCTCCCCCTGTAAGATTTATATCCACTTGTGTTTTGGATGGGAAAAAGTCAAGAGCTTGCCTCAGATTCTTCAAGAAATTTGGAAGTCTCAGAACTCTAACTCTTAACTTTATATCATCTCAAAAATCATTTTAAAATTCTACTTTGGTCTCTGTATGAAAGACTACTAACTTTGATAGAATCACAGAGACTAGAAATGTCAATAGAACCTAAACTCTGGAGCTATCTGGCCAAGGCAATCATATAATTAACTTTAGATTCTGCCCTGAGAAATGATGCTGAGGGACTCAGACATGCATTTTTTTTCAAATAGCATTATCTCTTCACACCAGAAGGTTGGCAGGGAAAACTTGTGTTTTCATGTCATAAGTTTTCCAAATTTCCACATCCCTCTTACAAAATTAGACAATCATTAAGTCAGAGTATCCTCATTAAATTCTTAATGAATATGAATTACAACAAATATAAAGTGTTGGGTAGGCATTAGGGAAAAACAAAAGCATGCCAATGTTATACTCCACGTTCAAATATGGTCCCGAAACCCAGCAGTGATAGTTGTGACAGAACCTTCCTGTGGAAATGAATGCTCTCTTTCCTCCAAAATTTGGATGTTCCCAAAGGGCTTGGGATTGTTAAAACACGGTGTGTTATGGTCTCAATTCCCTCTTGAAAACATATACAGAGGGTGCCAAAAAAAAAAAAATATATATATATATATGTATATATACATATATATATATACACACATATATATACATATATATACACACATTTTAAGAAAGGGAAAAAACCATATTAAAATTGCAATACTCAATATATACCGATAAACAATGAATACAAGTCATGTGTATACATTTTTTTGGCACCCCAGTACACACACACACAAACACACACACACACACACACACACACGCACACGCACATGCACACGTACACACGCACGAATGCGTGCGCTTTTTTATTTTTTAATTTCAAAAGTGTACGCCACCCAAAGCACCTTGTCTAGGCCCAGCCAGTGGGGCTGGCAGGGGTGGGACGCAAGGACACTCACTGAAGCAGCCCATCGGCGGGTCCCCCTGGGAGCACGTCAGAAATGACGATGGATGTTTCTCCATTTTCAAAGTGGGGGTTGTCTCTGCCTCCAGANTGAAGCAGCCCATCGGCGGGTCCCCCTGGGAGCACGTCAGAAATGACGATGGATGTTTCTCCATTTTCAAAGTGGGGGTTGTCTCTGCCTCCAGACACTGCAATTCCAAATCCTCTTTTGGAATCCTGTCCATTGAAGTTGAGAAACAAATTTTTAAAAAACAACAAAAAAAACAACAAAACCTTCCGTAAGTGGCTTTCAGGATTTATGACAAGCACTCCGTAAAATAAAGGTTAAACCAATCACCACAGACAGCTCAGGAACAGTGAGTGGGCTTATAGAAACAAATGAGAAACAAAATAAAGCAGCATCATGGTTAGCTGACAGGTTTATAGAGTGGAAATTCCTTATCTAAGAGAAACAGCCTAGTGAAAGCTGGAAAAGATTGACAGCACAGACTGGAGTTATTGCTAGAAGTTGGCAGGGGGTGGGAAATAGCATCTTCTGTCCAAACAGGGCCGTTCTAATCAAATCACCAAACATATCTGTCCTCATATCCTGGCCTGAGCTGGAACACCTTCAGTTACAATTGAATTCATGCTAAAACCATATTTTTAAAGTATACCTTTAACATCCAAATTAGGTGAGCTGGTGGTTTCATTTTAATATAAGGTGAAAAAAAGTAAATGGATTTTAAAGATAAAAGAAAATCTGAAGATAAACTTAGTTCGGGGATCTTATGACACAGCAAAGCATTAAATGCTTTTCTACATGCATATAAGATGAAAATACAGGTTAATTACACCCTGATTGCTCTAGAAATGTATAACAAGTGAACCCAGATAATCCATTATCCTCATTCGTTTCAGTGTTTAAAAAACCTGAGCTCCTGGGTTTCATCCAGATGATACAGGTATATGTGACTATAACCCTAAATCAGGGTTTGATTACCGTATTTGCCGGCGTATAAGACGATTTTTTGGCCCTGAAAAATATGCCTCCAAGTGGGGGGGTCATCTTATACGCCAGGTACACTTCAGATAGAC